TTATGGCTTCTGTTGGACTCTTTTCTAAGTCTAATTAGACTCAGATCTTCAGTTCAATGGATGTGGTTTTCTAACCTATTGGATATCATCTTTTAAAGCCCCGATCTCACTAGTGTTGACTGATATTTTCATTAAAGCACTGAAATAAATAAAAATAATAAAACAATATAAAATCACAAATAAAACTACTACTAAAAGAGTAAAACATGCAAGTTAAGGGGCTAAAATGTATAATATTCAGCGCCTAACATAAATTTTGTATGGTTTGGAGCCGAGGGCCTTTCTTGTAAGACAAGAGAAGTGACGATCGGTGTGGTGATAGTTGGGTGCACTCCGACGTTCAAATTAGTACTTGAGCCATTATAAAAAAAGAAGACTTTGCATTTAATTTTTGGCATACCTCTTTAGGTTGACTAACGACTCTATATAAGGATTAATGGTGGTAGTGTTCTACCATAAATTGATTCATTTTTCTTTCCCTTCACGAATTAGAAGAGTCATTGAAGGGTGATAGTAATTATCTCTACCTCCTTCAGTTTATTCACAACCTCTTGAATTTCCTAATTAGTTGAATAGTCAGTATTACCTATAATGCTAACCGTAATCCATGTTCGATTTGTTATGATCCGATAAGATCGATTGATAGAAGGGATTTTATAAACAATATATATTACTTGGTCTCCACTCTCACACACGTTGATTTTTTATTAGTCTTACCCCATTAAATAGATGTGTGAGTTCAAAACAGAGTGGAAGATCAAACAAAATGTTGGATCTTGTTAGTTGTTCATCATTTTGGTTCCTTCCTAGATCTAAAATGGCTTCGGCAAGTATATATGTACATTGTTAATTATTATCCTTATATTTAAGTATGTTTATAGGTTTTTAAATTTGTTTACTTATGGTGAGTAGGTAAGTATTATCTTATCTTTTCTTTTCTTTTTATCCTTCTAAATCAACAAAACTTTATTACATCAATCCTCTTTTGTCATTCTCTTAATGTTTTAGGTAACCACTCTTTACATTTTATTGAATTTTGAAGTCCCTATTCTCTTATCATTATGCTTAATACAGATTTTATTATTATTACTATTATTATTATTATTATTATTATTATTATTTCATACTGATGGAATTATTTGTTTTTACATGTGATTGAAATAATTTGAATCAAATTTTTTACTATTTTTGTCTTTCAATAATTGCAACTTCAAATTTCTTTTTCGAAGGTCAACTTCAAATATTTTAGTGAAAAATAACATTAATTTTTGAAAAATAACAAATTGAAATAAAGAAAGGAAAGAATAAAGGGAAAACTACATTTAAGTATAGTGATCGCAAAAATAGGCGAAGGCCTCAAGAGTCGAACGCCTGATCAAATTTGATTAAAAAGTTGAACAAAAAGCCGAACAGCCATAAGAACCAATCGCAAAAATAGACAGATACATCAAGATCAAATCATAGGCAAGAGCTCAAGCAAAAGCGATCTCAAAGATTGCAGAAAGAAATTTTTATAAAAAGGTAGGAATGTCTACAAAAGAGGCAGGACATACCCTACACATCCTATAAAAAAAAATAAAATAAAATAAAATAAAATAAGAGCTATTCATGCGTAGGATCATCCTCGGGTTCAGCCCCACCTTCCGCATTGAATCTCTGAGTAAAAACATTAACCAGTTCCACCCTAGCTGGAATAGAAGGCACAATAGGTGTCGAGGAAGGCAGCCCTTGAGAACTCGAGGGATACTGGAGAGGGGGCAAAACCTCAGGGTCCACCTCGCCCTTCAGCAGGGCAGCAAACTCAACCTCTTTGGGGCCAGCAGAAGGCTCAGCATATTCTCCAGTAACCAAAAGCCCCTGCTCGACATCATACGCATCAGCATCACCATAATCTCTCTCCTCATAGGGAAGCTGCCCTTGAGCAAATCCAAGCCTAAAACCCTTGGCATAACGAAGATTAGCAATTTGGGATAAATGGTTGAACATATCCAAACCCCCTTCCTTGTAAGTCTGGATCAAAGAGTTTGCCTTCCCAAGCTGAAAGTGGAGATCAGTGATGAGCACTGAAAAGTGCACATTTAAACCCCTTAAGTTTAGGTATTTTAGGACCTTTATCTATCTTACTTTCCCGTTGTAGACTAATTTCGTGTTATTGTCCTTTTTAGGTGCTTATCCCCAAAATAAGCTAATTCAACCAAATAAGAGCTTAAAAGAAGCTAACTCAAGCTGGATGGAAGAAAGGAGCAAAGTGGAAACAGAATGAAGCAAAGTGTGGAAATCGGCATGTTCGATTGATCTCAAGAACACTCCGATCGATCGAAAGTTCATCGATCTAGACTCTCCAAGATGGATCAAAACTCTTTTGTCCTTATCCAAAGATCCCACAAAGTTTGATCGATCCAACAATTCTCAGATCCATCGAAGAGATTCCATCTTATCCTATTGTACCACCCTACCTACCACTTTTGTCTCTTTCCCCAAAATATCTCAGATCTGTCCTGATCCAAAAAGGCGCCGCCATGGGAGGATCGATCCAGCCAAAGTTTGATAGATCTCAGCGAAGTTCGATCGATCTCAGCCAAGTTCGATCGATCTCAGCATAGGTTCGATCAATCAAACCCTCTCAAGTGCGAATTAAATTAATTTATAGCTCATTAAAAGTCATCTCATTGTGCAATTATTGGAGGAGCCCTTGTGTACGAGCCTAGACCATTGGGTGTGACATTTGAGCTACCTATATAAGGATTATGAGCCACTTTTACATATATGCTTTGAGGAGTTGATAGATACAATTTTTTATTATTCTTAAAAAGGAAGAAAAGAGAAGAGGAGGCTAGAGACACATTCTTGGGAGGTCTTCCATCTACTTCAAGAAAAAGAGCATTTTTACCATGGAGATAGCCCTTGATGGTTGGAGGACACCATTCATGAGTGGCTAGACATCCTCTTGGGGCTAGAGTTAACCCTAAGCATGCTTTCTTTACCCTGATTTAGGTATTTTTGAGGGGATTTGTGTTGTAATACATGTTTTGACATCTTTATATACATAGATCTTGTTTATTCAATGATTTGTGTGGTTTAATTCTTCTAATTGATCATTTCATTCTATCTATATGTCTATGTATGGTAGAATAGATGTTCATGTGTTTATCTCTATCTCTTGTGTTGTTGATGCATGTCTATGTGTGTTGATGCTATAAATCTAGAGATTGTCAAGACATATTACTTAATAGAATGCTCTTGTGGTTTATTTAATGGTTTATACTCATTTCTTGATGGATTGTGCCTCTCCCTTAGTTTAATTAGTTTAATTTTCATGTCATTAGCTTAAATGTAACGTAGTTGCCTTAGTTGTTAAATAGGAGGACAATACATGCTTGTAGTTTGATGTTCTATACTTATGAATGCAAGTAGTTTATTTCCCTAATTATATGATGTGTTTGGATTGTGAGCTTGAAGGAAGGATTAATGGCTTAGTTTGATATATTGTGCTATTCATTGTGTTGTTTAGATAATATACACTTAATTGGTCATCCATGCTTGTTGAAACAACCACACACACTCACTATTGTTGCAACATATGTTTTCCCCTCATTAATTATGAATTGAGTGTATAGAAAAGTGATGCCTAGTGGTGATCTCTAAGTCCCAAGACCTCTCTCTCTTATTTTCTCTATCCTTTAATTACTTGTGTTATATTGAACTTGTTTAATCTTAATTGTAGTTTAATCAACCAAACAGTCTACCGTTGATCACTCTTCCTACTAACCCTAAGCATTGTTTCCATTACTAGTAGCCTTCCAATCTCTTGGGATGATCCCTACTCACTCTTGCTACATTAGTAGTAATGGTTTTATAAATTTAAACTTAACCCAAAAGGCTTTGCTTGAACCGTGCATTCACTACATTATTTTGGCGTATAGGAACAGCCACCGTCAAATTTTGGCGCTGTTGCCGAGGATTGAATTGTCAACATTGTGTTTTGGAAACATTTAGGAATTAGTACTCTTTTGATCGTGTCTTTACTTTAATTTTATTTTTGGTTACTTATTGTGTTTGTTCTTATTTGGCTAAGTGAATTGAGTGAAGGAATTTGAACAAAGGAGAATTCAAAGCAAGGAGTTAAGCTAAGCACAAAAAGGACAAAAAATCTAAAAAAATGCAAAGCATAGTAAAGCTTGGAAGTTGGAAATGAATTGAAGTTGCTTAAGGACCCTTTATGAGATCTTTCTAACTCAAGCTCTAGTTAAATCGTCGGCCCGCGTGGAGGCTTGTTTTTCATTTCTTAGTTAAATCGTGAGCCCGCGTGGAGGCTATTTACTTTTCTTTGCATATTGTTCAAGCATGGGAGCATGGGATCATTATATGTGGAAATTTTTTGATTGATTTGTTGTGGGGGCGAAGTGTTTGTTACTTGCTTATTTCTTGTTATTCTCTTTGCTAGTGCATGCATGGTCGTAGGTCATTAAATCTTACTCTTGTCCCTCCTAATTTTCATCTCTAATCGGTTATTCGTAATCCTAGGGGAAGATGTAGTTCTCATCATTCCATTTCACCAATGGAGAATTTTAATGACGACCATGTGGAGAACCTTGGTCACATAGACCAACAAGGCATCCTCCACCCTAATGTGCATCATGAAAATATCTAAGTACCATTAGGCATGCCTAGACCATTCATCCCACCACAACAACAAGGCCAAATTCCATTGGGAATGCCTCAACCAATATTTGTTTCATAACCTCCCATGATTCAAGCTAATCGAGGTGTTCGTATCGCACCACCAATTGTGAATCCTCCTATTGCATTAAGAGACCATTATGTGCCTAATGAATATAATGCACCTACTTGCATTCAATTGCCTCCATTTAGAGCACATCACTATGAAATCAAACCACAAACCATTCAAATGCTTCCTAACTATCATGGACTTCCTAGTGAAGAACCTTATAAGCATTTAGATGAGTTTTTTGAAGTGTGTTCCACTGTAAAATACACAGACATGCCGGAAGAAGTTTTAAGACTTAAACTTTAAGGGATGGGGAAATGTTTCATGAGGCATGGGAAAGGTTTAACGATTTGCTTAGAAAGTGCCCTCATCATGACATACCTAAGTGGCAACTAGTCCAATATTTCTTTGAAAGTTTACCGGATAATCACAAGGGTATGGTTAATGCATCTATAGGTGGTTCTTATATTGATAAGCATGAAAATGATGTGTGGCAATTGTATGAAAGTATGAGTGAAAATTCCATGCATAGGTCCTTATCTTCTAAAAATGGTAGAAACCTAGGTGGAAGGAAGAATGTCAGCTTATATAAAGTTGACAACTCCAATGATATAGCCGCTGAAATGAAATCCTTATCTCAAAGGTTTGATTAACCAAAATTCGGCGAATCAAGTATCTTCATCCCCTACTCATATTCATCACCGTGCATCTAATGAATCTTGTATGACTTGTCCAAGTGTCTTGCATTCTACTTCCAATTATCCCTATGGACATTTGCTAAGTGAGCCCCATGAGCAAGTCAATGCTAAATTTGTTAATCAAGGGAATAATTCTTATGGCACTCATTACAATTCAAGTTGGAGGAACCATCCGAACTTTTCTTGGAAAAGCCAAGAGGAAGGCTCAAACCCTCCCCAAGGTGGTTTTCAAGGAAAGTATGTTCCGCCAACAATGCAAGGCCAAGGTTCCTAAGGTTTTAAATCATCATCATTTCAATCACATGGAAATCAATTTTCTAATTTTCATTTCCCAAATCAATCTTATTCTCAAGGAAACTCTAGAAGTCCCGCTTTTGAAGAGAAAGTTTTGACTGCTTTAGGTACTCTAAAGGCGAACACTCAATTGCTTCATTCTCACTCTCAATCCATTGCTAAGCTAGAAACCCAAGTAGGGGCAAATAGCTAGTACCTTAAATGCTAGAGAGAAAGGGAAAATGCCTTTAAATGCCCCACCAAAGCAACAATGTGTTGTGGAAACTCATTCCTCATCAGAAGGTCCCACAATTGAATATGTCAATGCGGTGACAACCTTGATAAGTGGGAAGATTATGGACAACCAAGTAGCTGTGTCCAATGAAGAGAGTGAACCGGTCAACCAAAAGTTGACACACGTCCCGTTTCACATCAAATTCCTCCTTCATTGCATATGTATGATCATTCAAATGAGAAACTGTTAGAAAGTGATTTGAAAAGTGAGTCCAAAATTGATTTGAAGGATGAATTGAACAAATCTTTGAAAAAGGATTTTAAAAATTCTTGTGTTGATGATGTTTCAAACAAAATTTTTGAAATTTTTTTTGAGCCAAGAGCTCTATTTCCGGATGTCTTGAAAGGATCCATTTATCTTAATAAACAAAAGACCAAGACCAATGAAATCATTGAAATGTTTAGGCAAGTGAAGATTAATCTTCCACTTTTGGATGCAATTAAGCAAATTCCGGCTTATGCCAAGTTCTTGAAAGATCTTTGCACCCAAAAGAGGAAGAACAAGAGCCAAGCACCTAGGACAGTGGTCTGAACCGAGCAAGTGAGCTCAATCTTGCAACATAACACCCTTCCAAAGTTTAACAACCTCGGTTCACCTATTACTTCTTGCATCATTGGTGACCATGTCATTAATTGGGCTCTTCTAGACTTAGGAGAAAGTGTTAATCTTCTTCCATACTCGGTATATGTCAAATTAGGCTTAGGAGACTTGAAACCGATGTCAGTAGTTTTACAACTTGTTGACTGATCCATCAAAAAGCCTCGGGGTATCATTGAGGATTTCGTGATTAAAATTGATAAATTCTTCTTTCTGATAGATTTCGTTGTCATTGACATGGAACCGGTTCCAAATCCCAAGAGCCAAATTCCCGTTATCCTTGGCCGTCCTTTCTTGGCAACCGCAAATGCCAACATCAATTATAGGACGGGGGTAATGAAAATATCATTTGGGCATATGAAAATGAAGTTGAATATCTTCAATCTGATCACAAATTCATTTGACAAGCATGAAGAAGTAAATGTTGCAGAAAAATGTCTAGACAATGAATGTGAAAGAATTGAGTCTTTGCTTAAAACCAAAACTTCAAAAAGTTCATCTTCGACCTGAAACTAAAGAATGATGTTTCAAAATCTTGCTTTGAGAGGGCATGGAAGCCTAAAACTCACATTGACAAAGGACCAACAAATTCCTTTGAACCTAATCCAACAAGTTCTTTAGGGAACCATTTGTTGAGTGAAATTCAAAGTACCTATCACCCCATTAAGGGAGGGATGCATTATAAGATGTTTGATCTGGGCTAAAAGAGCCCAATGTCTTGCTAGAGACGTTAAAGACTAGTAAATGCTTCGTAGGGTTTACAACCCTATTCCTCCCTCATTTCTATTTTATCTTTCATTTCTTGCGTCGTCTAGATATATTTTGGAATTCATACACATGGCTAGGATTTTGATTGAGTATTTATGCACTTTCATTTTGAAAATAAGCATTTTGTCCCTGTTCGATCGATCTCAAAAGAGGTTCGATTGATCGAACACCCATTCCTGCATCCAATCATTTCTCTGTTCCATCGATCTAAAATTTCCTGCATAAATCAGCCCTCTGTGTCTCGTTCGAAAATTTCTTCAAATCGATCTGAAAGTTCCTAGATCGATCCAACTTTTTCTTGGATCGATCTTCACTCCACACTTAGAAATTTTTTTGAGATCCATGAAAAAGGCCTCTCTGTGCATCGTTCGAACTTGTCTGCAGGTTTTTACCTGTTTGATCGATCGAACCATTTTCTCGATCGATCTTAGTTTGATCGATCTGTACCCTTTGTTGACCTTGACTTTGACTTTGACTGCAATTTTATTTTTATTTTTAGTATTTATTTTATTTTATTTTATCTTCAAAAACTCCAATTTTATAATCATTTTAAAATTTTCAAAAATCCCAAAAACAATTTTCTTTTGTTTTATTTCCAAAAACTCAAAAAAAAAAAATATATATACTTTTAATTTTTAATTTCTGAAAATTCAAAATATTTCAAAAATAAAATAAAAAAATAAAATTTTTTGTCGTTTAGTGAGGGGAGATCGATCTCAACATTTTCAGATCGATTTATCTTTGATCGATCGGAAATTTTCCCTGATCGATTGAACTTGTCGGGACTAGTTTTTAAAAATAACACCCTAGGGTCATTAGATCGATTTCAACATCGATCTAAGCCCTCATCTCCCTCGCCGCTGCAAACCCTACCTCTCCCATCTCTGGCGAACCCTTCGGCAACCATCCCAAGCTTCCACATCATCTCTCATCTCCGATTTCATCATCTCTATCGATTTCCACCTCTCTCTCTCTCTCAAATTTGGTAAGTCCCGAGTTTTCTTTTGATTTCGAGTTTTTATCTTCATGAATCTGAGCTTTACATGTTTGAAGATTCCATGTTTGTGTATATATATGTATATATATGTTTATAGATTTCTATACATTTTGATTCAAATCATGTATTTGGGGGTCATTGGCCAAACAAGTGACCAATCTTGTTGTGTTATTATGTGAGAGGGCCCCACAAGCTTGCTTGGGTACCCCTGTGCCATCCACGTCACAGATCTGTCACTTTTCGAATTTCTCGTACCAGTTCGATCGATCGAAGTTTGTTTCAATCGATCATTTAAAAATCGATCAAACTTACCTCAGATCGATCGAACTTCACATATTTGCATCCCACACTTCACACACTCTCTTTTGTGATTCCATGATATCTTATACATGCCCAATACCTATGTTTTCCACATTAGATGTATTCCATACTTATATTGTTTAGCATGCTTCACATAATGTCACTGTTTATTTAGCTCCATCATCATTTGCGTAGATTCATATTCTGTATTGTCAATCTTATTTGACATACATGTTTTTATATACTGTGATTCACTTCTTTATGCCTGTACTGACTTCTTCTACAAGTGTTTTTCTTTCTGTTTTGCAGGCCATGGCTAGGGTAAAGACTGTTGCCCGTAGGCATTATCCACGCCGAGTCAGGCCCAAGATAAAGGAGCCAGGCAAGCCCTCCCATATTCAAGAGCAGCTCGAGCATCAGACAGGACCATCTCATGTCCAGGATTCAGAATAGCCTATTGAGCCTAAGCAGCCAGAGCAGTTAGAGGTTTATATCGGGGCAGATTTAGCTCAGTCCCCCTTAGTTGACTCTAGACTACAGTCTTCAACTTCCGCATCTTCATCATCCCATGATGAGGCTGAGCATACACCATCGCTTTCTCCATCTCCGCCTCACGCACAGCCAGGCCAGGCTTTAGATAGACCTCTGCCGAGATACTCACACCTTACAGTGGTGCATGAGTCACATTTCGACATCTCTTTTTTCTCCCAGTACATTCTGACCCGGGCAGCCTACGAGGATACAGACTGAAGGGGCATTTCAGCCATTCTAGCCCCTGTCACATACCCAGTTTACCCGAGGCTTGTTCGGATGTTCTTCTAGAACCTCCGACCTGCCCCGAGTAATCTGACGAAGCTGCGCACTATTGTCGATGGCCATCCTATCTGCATTACAGTGGAGACTCTGGCCAGATCTTGTCGATGCCCACATGCTTGCCTTCTTAAGCTTGAGCTCGATTATCCCATTCTAGAGAGGAGGCCTTCTTATGCAAATATGGCTGTAGCACTTGTAGGCCATTATAGTAAGGGTAAGACATTTGCTACTCGGACCTATTTGCCCGATGATCTGTGGTTCTTCGATTCGGTCTTGTACAGAAATGTGTTTATGGCTGGCCACAAGATTCAGAGGTGAGGCAATTATTTGACTACCCTGTATGCTTTCTACACTGGGTACTAGAAATCTATTCCAGCCTTATATTGGAGCATAATGATGAAGCTCTACGCGGATTACATCAGTAAGGCCAAGCCCAAGGGGGCTAAGTACCTTCCTTTTGGCCACCTTATCACTCAGATCTTGCGAGATCAGCGCTATCCATTCCTTCTAGATGAGCGCCCAGAGACAAGAGCTTGCCACTTTGGTAAGAAGGACTGGAATAAGAGCTACAATGCTCTTATCAAGAGTCTTGTGGAAGACGCTATGATAGCAGTTGAGGAGGCTAAGGAGGAAGAGAT